CTTCTCCCACTTGAGTGGCTTCACAACCTCCCAGGTGAAGTCGGGGTCATCCCTGCCGAAATGTCCGTAGGCCGCGGTCTTCAAAAACCTATCATTGCCACCCCTCTTGAGATCCAGGTTGATGGAGATCATGCCTGGCCTGAAATCGAAGCTCTCCTTCACAATCTTCAGGATCTCCTTGTCGGGGATCTTCCCGGTGCCATAAGAGTCGACGAACACCGACAGAGGCTCGGGCACACCGATGGCATAGGACACCTGGACAATGCACCTCCTTGCAAGTCCATTGGCCACAATGCTCTTTGCGGCCTGCCTCACGATGTAGGCACCACTCCTGTCCACCTTGGTTGGGTCCTTGCCTGAAAAGGCACCACCTCCGTGAGCACCCCATCCTCCATAGGTGTCGATGATGATCTTGCGGCCGGTGAGACCAGCGTCACCATGAGGGCCTCCAATCACGAATCTGCCAGATGGGTTGAGATGGAAGATGGTCTTCTCATCAAGGTACTTCTCGGGGATCACAGGCTTGATCACATGCTCCTTGAGATCAGCGGCAATCTCATCGTTCGTCACGGTCTCATCGTGCTGGGTTGAAATCAGGACAGTGTGGACACGAATTGGGACCATGGCACCCTTGTCATTGACATACTCAATAGTAACTTGGGTCTTGCCATCAGGCCTCAACCAAGCACAAGTCCCGTTCTTGCGAACCTCAGTGAGCTTGGCACCGAGCTTGGTTGCAAGGACGTGGGTGAGTGGCATGAGCTCGGGGGTCTCATCAGTAGCATAACCAAACATGTGGCCTTGGTCACCAGCTCCAATTTCCTCAGGCCTCTTGGAGAAATGACCATGGACACCTTGAGCAATGTCAGGGCTCTGCTGCTCAATGTTCACAAGAACCTTGCAGTTGTCTGCATCAAGACCCACATCGTCTGATACGAAACCGATTGTGCGGCATGTGTGACGAACGATTTTCTCGTAGTCCACATTGGCCTTGGTGGTGATTTCTCCGAAAACCATGACCATGTTGGTCTTGGTACAGGTCTCGCAGGCAACCTTGCTGTCAGGGTCTTGTGCAAGGCAGGCATCGAGCACCGCGTCGGAGATCTGGTCACAGAGCTTGTCTGGGTGACCCTCATTGACTGACTCGGATGTGTACAAGAAGGTCTCCATTTCTTACAATCTGAAAAAAGAAAAATTAGCATAGCACACAATAAGAACATGCAAACTATAAGGCCTTAACTGCCAATCCTTCTGCAATCAAAATCTAAACTTCAACACACGCATACAGATTCAAAATCCCATACACGGCAAGAATTACCAAAACAAATGCATGCATAAATCGCTACCAGATCTGCAATGTCAGTGTCCATTTCTACAATCTTAATGGCCAACGGTGACAATTCGAAAAAAAACCACTACTTTCCAATAGATCTACTAAAATTATAAAAACCCAGAGTCAAATTTTACCAGATTTCACCAAAAATTCAATCAGCAATGTCAGAGTCCACATTCTAAAACCTTAATGTCCAACTATCACAATTCCACAAAAGCAACTACTTTTCAATAGATCTACTAAAAATAACAAATACCCAGATCCAAAATTTGCCAGATTTCACCAAAAATCTCAATCAGCAATGTCAGAGTCCCCCTCCTAAAACCTCAAAGTCCGACGGTCACAATTCCACAAAACTAACTACTTTCCAATAGATCTACTAAAATTAACAAAAACCCAGATCCAAAATTTTCCATATTTCCCCAAAAATTCAATCTGCAAAGTCAGAGTTCACATCTAATAATATCCAACGGCGACAGTTCGAAAAAAGCAGCAAATTTCCAATAGATCCGCTCAAGTTAACAAAATGACTCCAAGTCCACAACCACCAACTCAAAAACAACAGATCTAAAGGCAGAATTCAAACAAAACGAGACGAACCCAGATATCGAAAACCCAGAAGGGAGCAGAAACGCACCTATGAATCGAGAGAGAGATAGAAAGGGGGAGAGAGAGTTGCTTGAGTAGAGGAAATAATGGGTTGTAGTGTGTTTTCCTCCTCAAGCGGTTCGAGGAATTTTGGGGCTTTGAGGTCCCAATTTATAGGGAAACGGGGGTGGCCCGCCCCACCCTCCCAAAGCTGCATAATATGGGTTAGATTCATCTCGGTCACGTGGCATGGGAATCAGGGGGATCAAATTTAATCTCGGCCGTCGGTGGGGGTGAATCGGTGGGTGAATGATTAAAAAATGAGGGGGGTTTTAGATGGACGGAGGACGCGTTTACCGCGGGAATTACCAGTAATCCCACCAACCCCCAGCCTGTATTGATTAGTCTACGGTTTTGACTAATCACTCCCTTTTTTTTAAGTCAATTGACTAATCAACCCAAGCAAAATCAGAGTTGTACCAACCGCACGAGCACAATTTAGCTGGAGATAATCGTAACTGACCGATGTCTTTGGTTTGAAATTTTGTGTTAATTATATTTTCTGTTCTGCCGTGTTGGGTATGACATTGTTAATAACTCTCCTTGTATTATGTCGTGTTACTATTATGTCGTATTTAACCTATTGAGTTCAAACCTAGTAAAAGATAAAAAATATGATATAGCATATGTCACTATTAAGTTCCGTTCAGCACGATATAATATATGTCACTAACTTGTCGTCTGAGTTAATTGGTCTTATTGAAGTGTGAGGTTTTATTTCAAAAAGCCAAAATTTAATAGTCTAAGGATTGGTTTGGGATTGCTCAATTTTTTTTAAAAACAGCTTCTTAAAAAAAGTTGGGGCTTGAATTGTATTTGGTAAATGAAAGTTATAGGTCTAAAATAGCAAAAAACATAAGCAGCTTTACACATGTTTCTCAAAAAAGCATGGAGAGAGGATACCAATTAATGAAACTTTTATTTGACAATCTTACCCCATCTTTTTTTGATAAAAACACTTTTTGGCTTTATAGTTTACCATACTTTTTTTCATAATTATTTATTTTCATAGTACAGCAAAAATAATTTAAAAAAAAAAAAAAAAAAAAAAAACACCATCTCAACCCCAAACTAGCCTTAGTTTAAATTTGAAGTTTGACCTTTAACTGTTAGGCTTACCCGAACTCTAAGTTATTCCATTAAAAGAATAATTGAGATATACTATATGTATGTATACTTCGCATCACGTAATGTGTGGTATAAGAACATTGAATATAAACGCCGGACATACATGAAAAGCTTTATTTACCCTTTCGTGTGAAGTTTGGTGTTTTTTGGGTCATATTTTTTGAATAGTTTGGTAAGAACTATGAACTTATGTGGTAAGGTTTAAAGTTGAGTTGGGTCTTTCCCACCACAAGGCAAATGCTTTGGCTTATTTGGATTTGTATCACTCTCTATGGGTTGGGTGGGGTTGGTGAGTTTGTGATTTGGTTTTCCATCCTTTTCTACAATCTTCTTGAATTTTTTATGGTACCACCACCAACCCCCCAACTTAAGAAAATATTAAATATATAGAACGTGCTCTTTTTATTTTTTATTTTTTTTGTTTTTATTTTTTTTATGAGTCGAGCAATACCGTTAATAAGTTAAATGTTAATTAACTACCGACAAGGTTCAAATTCATACCTTCATGCAAGAACATAACATCTTTCCACCATTGTGGTAAAATACCACTTGTAGAACATGCTTTATTAAATCTACAACAAAATCTATAGTTCGAGAAAAAAAAATCTACAAATTGCACAACAAAAAATAAATAAATTAAAATTGTTGATGCACAAAATCAGTGAAAACTTTGGAACAACGTAAAGTGTCAAGTTTGTGACCTTTGCTCAATTGCTCCAATCACTAGTGAGGATAAATATGTAAAGAGATAAAGATAGGGAAGCAAACACAAGATTTACGTGATTCATCCTAAGTTAGCTACATGCACGGAGTAGAGGAGTTCTCGTTAATAGTGAAGGGTTTACACAAATACATAGGTTCATGCATAATCATCATTAGTGAGTTCTAATGACTAGTTTAAGTACAATAATGACATTAGAGATTCACTGTAGGAGAATGATTTTCTTTTATAGTTGAGGAGAGTCTCCAGCTTTTGTCCGTGGTTGATGTGGGACTCTGAGCTTTATTCTGAAGTTAACATGTGTCGTGCTGTGATTGGCCTCTTGGTTGGAGGGAAACTCTTGTGCTTTGGCAGGGGTGCCTCAACATGAACCCCTCATTAGATCCTTGAAGATATGAAGTTGACCGATATTTGATAGGCCTGCAATAGGCTACCAATAATATGGTTCAAATTCACCGTTTGTGAGAATCGAACCTAAGACTTCTTGCTTACAAATGAAAAAAATACCACTAAGTCATAGTACTAAGTGCCTTTAATACGCCTATTTTAATACACCCTTTATACGCGGGGGACCTATGGCCTTGCTCCAGTTGCTCGTTGACAGGTTAGGCTTTCTATGCCCCTTGCCTTCTCATGGATTAAGCCCATTCAAATGTTGACCCAGTTAAGAACATTTAAATTCTGGTCAAGGAGATTCTGAGTTTAAATGTCGTGAACAATATTTCTCGATCAAAGAACGTGGCAACAAATACTTGAAAGCGGACTAGGGTTTCAACTTCTGCAGGATCCTTCTCCTATCTTCTACTAACCGAACCAAAAGAATAACCGGATATACCTTCAACTTCTTCCACAATTTCTCGTTTTTGTTAAAGGTATATAGGAAATATCCTGTTGAAAGATACCATATCCTTTCTGATTGGGCTGAATCCGACCCAATAAATCCCACAAATAGCAGAAAAAGCCCAAAAATCTCGGCCTAAAAGCGACCCAGCAACGTGTCGGTGGTTGAGAAAAGGAACGTCGATGCTTAAAGCAACAGAAAACGACTTGTGAGGTGCGTATGTGAGCGGTCTACGTAACACCCGTAGCTTTCTCCTCCTCGACACGTCTTTCTCTCTCTCTCTCTCTCTCTCTCTCTCTCTCTCTCTCCCACCCCCCAAAACAAACTTTTTCTATAAATTTGGAAGAAAAAAAGCTCCTCATTTTTCCTTTGATTGGTTTCGTTTCAGACTTTTTTTAGACTCTCTCTCTCTCTCTTCTTTCTCTCTAAATCGAAAAGGAAAAAGGTTCAAGCTTTATGGGGAAGATCCAATCTTTCAAGCAGGAGTTCTCATTCGGTTTGATTTTCCCTCCTTTTTATAATTTCATAAGTTACGGAAAGGGTGAATATTGGGATGTTTTTGGGTGCTAATTTTTATTTTATTTTATTTTTGTATAGATGAACGACTTGAAGAATCAAAAAGTATAATTGCAAAGTACCCGGATCGAGTTCCGGTGAGTTTTTATATTTTATTTTCGTAAAATTGTGTGTGAAATTGTGAATTGGAAATGCCAAGATCCTGGGAAATAACGCACTTGGAATTTGGAAATACTGAAATTTGTTCTTGTTGATGATCTTTTGGTTGATTAGGTTTTCTTACTTTGTTTCCGCGTTTTTGGTGATTAATATTTGTTAAAGATTTAATTATTATTTTATTACAATTTGACATTGACCCGATTGAGAGATCATAACGTTTTAGTGGCTGAAAGATTGTGAGAGATGCATGCTTTGAAATGGCAAATTTTTGGTTTGTGTGTTGAAGAAAGTACAAATTTTAATTCACGTCGATTACGTATGTGAAGAATCTCCGGCCTGAAGTTGTTTTCATTATGTTATGTGGTTTAGGATTCGCTTTCAGGCTTTTTTCTTTTGTTCAAAACTTTCGAAACACAGAAGTAAATTTGAGTTTTAACATGATGGTTCCCATTGTTACCTCCGAGAGTTGTGTATCGTTGATCGGTGTTTTTTTCATTGCATTTCGTGAATGGATCTAACAATGTTCGGAGGAAGTGATTTTTTTAGGAAGATTTTATATTATAACCGCACATTACAATCATAAAGCCGCTGAGAAGCGACACGGTTAGACTTTATTGGAAGCATCTTTGCGAGGTCGGATAAGTTGTCAAAACTGATTAGGGTGTTCTTTTTATGTTTTTCTGCAGGTGATCATTGAAAGATATTCCAGGACAGACCTGCCTGAAATGGAAAAGAAAAAGTATGTTTAAGTTGTCAAAGTTGTCTTCATTTTCTACAAGGTCAATGTTTCTTTCGTCAAGAACAAACTTAAATGCCATATGACATTCGAGTTTTATAATTCCAGATCGAAACTTGTAAATAACACTTTCAAGGATCTAGGAATTTCGATATTCTTATTTCCATCTCTAGGTCCTTCTTCCCGGTTTCTTTGGCAGACGTGTAGTAATCCTGACTATATAACTCTTCGTTCTTGAAAACAGAGAGCTTGGCATCTGTTACATGCTCTGTGTTCTGAGAATCTTTGTTGCTTCCTTTTCTGCCCTTAAGTAACAGATGTGTACTTGGATGAATTTCCTTTATCTGCAGTTTTGTATAATCCGAGTATAGATAATTAGTTCAAAAAGTTAGTAGAAATTGGTTGGTTTACTTCCCCGACAATTTTAGCTAATTGTTTATCCGTTCTCACTTTAAGGGGAATAACCTCTATTCCGTGTTTCCTTGTTTCTTCTAGATTCCTGGTTCCTAGAGATATGTCTGTCGGGCAGTTCATCCATATCTTAAGCAGCAGGCTTCACTTGACCCCGGGGAAAGCTCTTTTTGTTTTTGTGAAGAACACTTTACCTCAAACAGGTAAAGAGCGTGTTGTCATCCGTTCGACCAGTACAATTTAGCGCTTGCATCATGTTTTCGGAGCCACTTTAACACTTTATTATGTGTATTTCATTTACAGCCAGTCGCTTGGATTCCATCTATGAAACTTACAAGGAGGATGACGGTTTCCTGTATATGTGTTACAGCAGCGAGAAAACCTTTGGCTAATCTTGCCATCTCCTCCCCTAATTATCTAATCGCCTCGTCCATATCAGTGACTTGTAAGTATTCATTGTTAACTTGTTCTCAATCAGAACGGACCTGTGAGGCTTGCTTCACTCTCCATTATCATGTTCTTTGTATATTTGATTCTTTGTGAATTCTGTAAAGTTCGCAACTTTTAATAAATGCAACATTTACCTATTCAGTATTGTCTCATTTTTCTTTCCAATCCCAATGTATTTCCTGACTTTGCCTCCGTAAACTATCAAATTGAAGTTCCAACAAAAAAAAAGAGGATTTTCTACGGTGCCCCAGAGTGTAGGATACTCCGGTTGCTTTAACCGTTTAGATCTTTGTTTAAAAATAAAGAAATCAAAATTTAACGATTAAAAAGTTTGGAGTATTATGCTCTTGAGCCACCATAGAAGGAAAAATGAAACCGAAAACAAAGAAAGGTATATGAAGAGCAGATTGATGTATTTATTCATCATGTAGTCACAAACGATACGATGGTATTCACTAGTGAAATGAATGTGTTTTTAACACCATATTCGGCTATCTTTACTATTTTACACCTCTAAAATTTCACACAGCAGGAATTTTGTACTATTTTACTATTTGGCTACACTGCAACAGTAATTCCATGGACAGTGACTTCTGCCTCCACAATGCAAGTATCCTTCAACACTAACCCCCTGTTTTCCTTGTTGAAATATCCTAGAGTAATAAATCCTATCCATCCCCTCACCGAATTTGTGGCACTGAACCAGTGATTTGCTGCAATCACCAACAACAATTCTCAATTCAATAGTATATTGGAAAAAAAAGGGTAAAAGGTGACTCCAAGCTAATAAGACCATCTATTGTAAACAGCTTTACTCTTACGTTGCAAAGAGTCTGTTTCCACAAGGGTAAAACATGCAAATAGAGTTGGTTTCGAACTTTTAATAAAATATAGAACTGGATGACACTAAACAAATTAAATTGTTGTCTATATACGGGTTTATTGTCCAGTTGCTGAAAGCATTCAGTTGCTTTCTGCTAAATACTAGAAGTTCAATATGAGTTTCAACATTTCAAGAGTGCACCAAATGGGCATGCCCCGGACACTGCAGTCTTCAAGTTCTACATTCTTGAAGAAACACTAGAATGTTTTCAGAAAATGGACCGTGAGGACGACTGACTGGGCTGCCCGAATCCCAAAACAAATTAAACCCTAAAATCTTTCGCTACGACCAACCGAAATTTTGAACATTTTCAGTAGGTTGCAATCAGAAATCTCGATATTGGCTTTCCACTGAACGCAGGTTCAATAGTAAGTATCACCAACATGGTACGCCATCACGACTCAAACACCTCCAAGAACTAGAGTCTCATCGTCGTTCATGGTGGGAATTTCAGCATGATGGCGGTAATAAAACCACCCTTAATTGAATGTTTGTTAGATGTTCTAATCCTTGTTTGCTGGTATGATTATGTAGCAGTAGGATTAGGCAAAATCTTTACCTTTATCATCCCAATGCCGGGCATTCAGCCGGTCTAGGATCCGTAGGGTAAACTTTGCATATATTTGACAGCCAGGAGGAAGAGATTTCGGTTCGGCTAACGTCAGATAAAAAGCCAGATGGGTTCCAACTCCGTTGTCTTTTCCCTTGGGATAGAGCTGCATCTTCCTGCAACAACCACCAACACATTTACAACACTTTCAGATAAACCGCGCTTAAGTTTTCGATATCTTCGAGAGAAATTTCTTATACCAAGAGCGAAGTCTAACAAGTATAGTGTTATATACCATTTCTGGTCTCCAGCAATGAATGTTTCTGAGTCATAGGATTCCGCATCTAGCTTTGATACGTTGTCAATCCTCCAAGTATTCTTGTACATAACAGGATCCTTTACCATTGATAGACGCTCTCCTTTGCCTTTGCTTGTCTCCTTAGAAACGAAGACCTCTGCTCCCAACACACAAGTGTCATCTATGAGAAATCCATTTGAAGCTTCAGTGAAGACTTGTGGGAAAGAAATTGATCGAATCCCCAATCGAGTTTCATCCTATGAAACCGCCTTTCCTTTGGTTCTGAGCAATGCATATTTTAAAAAGATTGGAAAATGAGACGACACTTTACAAATATGAGAACTATAAGCCTTTTTTATTCGTTGAGTTAAAAGAAGAAATGGTACCTTGAAGAACGAAGTAGTTGCCGTTATTCTGATCGAGTATAAACAACCTGAAAACAGCATACACTTCCGAAGAAATCTGGGGAGCAGTTGCTCCAGACATTACCAAGTAGAGAGAGACGTGCTCTTTCACATTCCTGTTCTTGTTTCCATTCGGATAGAAAACCAGTTTCCTGCAGCAAAACAGCAATTTATAGTACTCTAACACAGCTCCAAAAACAGAAGAAAACACTAGCAATAAGTGCAAAGCTTATGAGAAAAGGAACAGTAAGAACTTGTTTTCAGAAATAGAAAGGATTGTACCATTTGTATCCTCCAGCTTCAAAGTCCCCAGATTCATATTTCTCCAAGTTATGTTTGGTGAGCAACGAAATCGATTGTACTTTTACTGTGTAATGGGTTGGTGGTGCATCCGAAATTGTTCTCAGTATCCCTGAAAATAAACGTGTACATTAGCTACTAATTTTCAACTTCAACACACTCAAGCAAACAGATAAAGTATCTTACCATCTTGGTCATCGAAGTTGAGACTCTTCATATCAACAAACTTGATTTTCCGATAAGTCAATACAAGTTACAAAGGATTCAACCGGGTTTTCTGTTCTAGAACCAAATATGTTTTCCTGCTTATAAGGAAAAATTAAAGGTGTATTATTCCTAACTTGAAAGCTTTTAAGGATAGAAATGTTATACTTTGCTTCGAAAGGGTTGCCATTGTTTCATTTGAAGGTATCCATCACCTGCTTGTAAGGAAAAATATAGGTGTTATTCCTAACTGGAAAGCTTTAAAGGATATAAATGTCGCAGATGATACTTTACAGCAGTGGCGGAAAGCAATCATGCTTATGCATCTTGGTGCAGGTTCGATCTCTACCAAAAAACAAAGAAAGGTATATGAAGAGCAGACAATGATGTGTTTATTCACCATGTAGTCACAAACGGTATAATGATATACACAAATGAAATGAATGTATTTTTAACACCTTATACGACTATCTTTACAATTTTACATTCCAATGTTTCACGCAGCAAGAATTTTGTACTATTTTACTATTTGGCTATAGTGCATCAGTAATTTCATGGACAGTGAAGTCTGCCTCCACAATGCAAGTATCCTTCAACACAAACCCCATGTTTGCCTGGTTGAATAATCCCAGAGTAATAAATCTCATCCATCCCCTAACTGAATTTGAGGCACTGAACCAGTGATTCGCTGCAATCACCAAAAAGGATTCTCAATTCAATAGTATATTGGAAAAAAGGGTAAAAGGGTGACTCCAAGCTAACAAGACTCTCCGAGTAGGAATATCTATCGTAAACAGTTTTACTCTTACGTTGCAAAGAGTGTTTCCACAAGGGTAAAACATGCAAATAGAGTTGGTTACGAAGTTTTAATAAAATATAGAATTGGATGACACTAGACAAATTAAATTGTTGTCTATATACGGTTTATTGTCCTGTTGCTGAAAATATTCAGTTGCCTTCTGCTAAATACTAGAAGTTCAACATGAGTTCAACATTTCAAGAGTGCACCAAATGGGCATGCCCCGGACACTGCAGTCTTCAAGTTCAGCACATTCTTGAAGAAGCACTCGAATGTTTTCAGAAAATGGACCGCAAGGACGACTGATTAGCCACCCGAATCACAAAACGAATTAAACCCTAAAATCTTTCTCTACGACCAACCGAAAATTTTGAACATCTTCAGTAGGTTGCAATCAGAAATTCTCGATATTGGATTTCCACTGAACGCAGGTTCAATAGTAAGTAACACCAACATGGTACGCCATCATGACTCAAACACCTCCAAGAACTAGAGTCTCATCGCCGTTCATGGTGGGAATTTTAGCATGATGGCGGCAATAAAACCACCCTTAATTGAACGTTAATTGAACGTTTTTTAGATTTCCTAATCCCAAAAGCTTTACCCTTACCATAGTCATGCCTGTCAATCAGCTGGTCTAGGATTCATAGGGTAAACTCTGCATATAATTGACAGCCAGGAGGAAGAGATTTCGGTTCGGCTAACGTCAGATAAAAAGCCAGATGGGTTCCAACTCCGTTGTCTTTTCCCTTGGGATAGAGCTGCATCTTCCTGTAACAACCACCACCACATTTACAACACTTTCAGATAAACTGTGCTTAAGTTTTTCATTATCTTCGAGAGAAATTTCTTATACTAAGAGTGAAGTCTAACAAGTTTAGTGTTTATACCATTTCTGGTCTCCAGCAATGAATGTTTTTGAGTCGTAGGATTCCGCGTCTAGCTTTGATAATTTGTCAATCCTCCAAGTATTCTTGTACATAGTAGGATCCTTTACCAATGATAGACACTCTCCTTTGCCTGTGCTTCTTTCTTTAGAAACGAAGACCTCTGCTCCCAACACATGTGTCATCTATAAGAAATCCATTCGAAGCTTGAGTGAAAGCTTTGTAGGAGAGAAATTGATCAAATCCCAATCGAGTTTCATCCCATGAAACCGCCTTTCCTTTGGTTCTGAGCAATGCATATTTAAAAAGATCTGAAAATGAGACAAAGCTTCCCAAATACGAGAACTATAAGCCTTTTTTAATCGTTGAGTTAAAAGAAAGAAATGGTACCTTGAAGAACGAAGTAATTGCCATTGTTCTGATCGAGTATAGACAACCTGAAAACGGCATAAACTTCTAAAGAAATCTCCGGAGCAGTTGCTCCAGACATTACCAAGTAGAGAGAGATGTGGCCTTTCACATTCCTGTTCTTGTTTCCATTTGGATAGAAAACCAGTTTCCTGCAGCAAAACAGCAATTTATAGTACTCTAACGCAGCTCCAAAAAAAGAAGAAGACACTAGCAATTAACTGCAAAGCTTATGAGAAAAGGAACAGTAAGAACTTGTTCTCAGAAATAGAGAGAAAGGATTGTACTATTTGTATCCTCTGGCTTCAAAGTCGCCAGATTCATATTTCTCCAAGTTATGTTTGGTGAGCAACGGAATTAATTGTAATGTATTTTTACTGTGTAATGAGTTGGTGGTGCATCCGAAAT